ACCTTTTACTGTATACTCTTTCTGAGTAGAAATAAATCATTCGAAAGTCATAAAAATAAGCTGACGTTTTTACAATTAATTCTTCATGTAGTGCAATTAAATCACAAGGTTGCTAAGCCATACAGCATGGCTGTAGAAAAAGTATTAAAGAATAAAGCATCATATATTTACGTACACATGTACATACGTAACTACTTACATATAAGTATGTACGAGTATAAAATTTTTAAAATGATTATTTATTCGCATTAGTGCTGTTTCATCTAGCAGATGCTAGAATATTTTTAGTTAATTAGCTTGCTATAATATCAACACCTTCATTAAGTGAATTTACTTAAAACTGACGAGAGATGAAGGTTATCAACGCTCATTTTTATACAATGCCAATAACTGGGCGGGTATTGAAATAACATTTTAGTATGATGAGAACAAAGTTAATTTATAATTGATGCGCATAAATGCCCAGAAAGTAGAAATTCGGAAAGTCTAGATTTTCTGAAGAAGAAACCGGCAGTATTAGTAAAATACTTAACTGGAAGGAACATGATTATTGTTCTCAGATTAAAAAAAAAGAAAAAAATAAGTGCGCCTGGGCCACATTGGAGAAGTGTAACTTACGTTACATATCTATTTTGTCTCGTAACCAATATACATACATATTTATGTACATATGCACATACATACATCTGCTTTGCTTAAGGTTATATTTTTACCCTTTTTTCGATCTGGATCCCTACCTCTACCCCTTTTCGTTCAAATAACATATATGTTATTCTGTTCTCCTTTATCTCCATTTTTATCTTTATACTCTATCGATAAAAAAATCGATAGTAACAACCACAAAAAGTATTGACATTAAAACCGATAAAAATGTCAATAACAAAATCGATGACAAATTCGATAAAATTTTTTATAGCAAAATCAATAATACTATTGGTAGCAAAATCGCTTAGAAAATCAATAAAAATATCGATAAATAATCGATAAGAAAATTTATAACAAAGATCGATTAAAAAAACGAGAAAATATCGATAACTAAATGGATAAATAATTGATAATAACATCGATGACAAAATTGATAAATAATCGATAACAAAATCGATGAGTAATTGAGAACAATATCGATACATGATCGATAACAATATTGATAACAAAATCGGTAAAAAATATCGATAACAATACCCAAAAAAATACCAATAACAAATCGTCTAAAATATCGAATACAATTATTATATTGACAAGTTAAGAAAATATCGATAGCAAAATCGATAACAACATTGATAAAAATTTCAATAACGAAACCGATTATTACATCGATAAATCTCGAGAATACCGAAAATCTCTAAAATCCGAAACTAGTTCCCAGATTGAGTCTCTGTGTCTCTATCTATATCCTTTTCTCTATAATTACCTTTATTTTAATCTTTCTTCCTCTATCTTCGTCTTTACTTTTATCGGTATCCTCACCCTTATCTTTTTCTTTATATTTATCTTTGTTTATTACTTTTATGTTTATCTTTTCTTCATCTACATATTTCCCTTCACCTTTGCCTTTATATAAGCAAATTGTTTAAATTTACCTTGGTCTCTTTTTTGTTTTTATTTTTACCGTTCCCTTTATCCTTTTCTTTATCTATGTACGTACCCACGTCAACTTTTTCTAAGTGTTATTCTTTAACCTTTTATTAGCATGTTTTTGTTAAATTAATACCATGTGCATACACTCAGGAAGCACTTGTTTCAGCTCCAACCATTTCCATTGCACCATTTCCGTGTGCAATTTCCGTTGAATTTGCAAATTTACTTCCAACCAAACAACCGCCGCTAAAGAAGTTCCACTTTAATACTTTCAATGGATGCTACGGTGTCCTCATTTATAATTGGTAGTAATTAGATCGCAGAATGTGTTACTTCTTGAATACTTGAATCGGATCTCCCATCATTTTTCGATGACCATGACTATGCTACTCTTCTTTGGGTTTACGTTTAACCCATTGTGACTGCGCCTATTGGCGACTATGTTCAGAGCTGTCCTCCCTGCGAGCAAACTTTCGTATCTAAGATCAACTATCAACCTCTTTCTAGTTTTTTAGGTCAATTTTTTTGTACTGTGTTGTCATTAGTCAAAAGGCGATGCAAATCGAATTTTTTTTTGTTGGTGAATTTTTACCAGACGACTGAGCATCTTGCTGTAGTTGGGTCAAATTTATCACTACATCAAAATACAAAAGAAAAAATATGGTAATTTATTTGCCTTAAAACAAAAGAGAGTGCTAAAGAGTGAACGATATTTCACAAACAAGCTCCTCAAATACTTTTTGCCTTGTTATTCCCAGTAGTTGCCAGGCTATCTGACAGCTAATTAATCACTTTTCGTCAAGCAATTAAGTCTTCTATTTGACAAGCAAAACTAAATACAATATAGACTGGAAATGCGTCATATTACTAACCAGAATTGTACATACAAACATAGATATATAATTATGTATGTACATTAGGCTACCCCAACAAAATGATTTGCGGGTTATCTACCGGTATTATTAAATTCATTATATACATAAAACTTCCGCCAAAATATTTTGGAAACATATTAAGATTTACGTAAGCTGGACAGATTTGAAAACACCTCTAAAAGAGTCATTATTTTTTTATTCCATTCATACAATTTTTCAGCATATTTATGCAGACCTTCTAAGCTTAAACTTTTCTGTCAACTGAGGGTATTTTCTGGAAAAGTATTTTCTAGAACTAATTTTGTTAATAAAAAAACTCAATTTTTATTGGTATTTTCAAACCGCACCAATTGCCGTTGATTTTAATAATTTTCTGAAATATTTTGGCGAAAGCCTGAATATATAATAGATTTTATAATTTCAATGAAAGGACAGTACCAACTGTTTTTTTTTCATGGAGAGTGATGCACCCTAATGTTCATATGTATATGTACATAAGAGAGTGTGCGAGTTTGCTTGAAAAAGTAGTCATTACTGAACATTACGGTCATCAAAATCGGGTGAATGCCATTTACATGCTACCATTTGCAATTTAGAATGTTTTCACACACTCCGCTCTGACGAATTAATCGGGCGTACGCGTAGAAGAAGTGGAGAGTCAAAGGTAAAAGCTTTAGGTTCGGTACGTCAAGGTGATAATGGATTTGCATTGCTTTTTAAATGCACAGCGTGTGGTGTAGAGAAAAGATTGAAATGCGCTTACTCAAATTTTAAATTACCCTAAATTATGATTAACTAAATCATTTTGTGTGTAAGTGGCAAACCTTTGTTTAATTTGGGGAATTTTGTATGATTTTTTTTTGTGAGGTCTCCAATTCTCTACACAATTTTTTTTACTTTAAACAACATAAAATATATCTAGCAATATTGAGAGTTATATGTAATGTAACTTAAGCTAAGTTTTTGTATAATTACACATATACAAATGTACATATTTATTTTGCATAGGTATGTATGTATATATAATAAGTCATTGCTTACTCCATTGATTTATTTATTTTGTAAACATTTTGACGTAATCTTTATTCATTTGTTTTCGCTACACATGCACGGCTACATTCTACTTCTACGTCGTTCGTTCCAGTGTATCTATGCGTGTAAATTGGTAATGCTTACCAGTGGTCTTGTGTTTTGATTGTTTGCCTTTCAGAGACCGATAAGAATTTGTATGGTAACTATACAGTAACACTCTACCGTTATTTGTCATTTCAACTTAATACTACATTTATCCCGCTATATCGACCGCGCTGATATCAGCTAATACCCTTTTCATTGTACATACATACATACATATTTACATATATTTTGGGTAGCAGGAAGCTAGCAAACAATGAGCCTATTTAGTTTATTTATAACATTCGAACCTTGTGGAACGTGGAAAATAGTGCCAGTTTGGTTACTTGACCATTTAAAGGAAAATCAATATTTCTAATTTGATGGCAAAGCATACTGAGCTTGAAATGATTTGTAGAAACGAGTTGCCAGTTCTACAGACATATTCAGATCCTTTTCCGCAGCGGAAAAGGAAAATTGTGTATCATCCAACTGTGAAACAATGGATGGCTTTGCTGTCAGGTGATAGTGGCTTAAGGGAATTCAATAAATAAATAGTTAATATTTGTTTTAATTTAGTTGGCATAAAGTGTTCTTCTATAAAAGCATAAATGTTCAAGCAAAAAATTGTGAAAACATCATTTCATTATCATCATTTTCATTATTTTCGTTTACATAAGTGAAAGTACTAAGTGATACCTTTTGCTAACCGAAGGAATTTTATTACAGTGCGTATGATTGGAAAAAAATTGTAATAGGCGTAAATGAAAATTCGTGTACTCAGTATCAACTAAAGTAACTGCCCAGAAATCAGGGACCGTAACAGTTACAGTTACAGTAACAGCAACAGTTACAAGTTTTATTAAAAACATCGCTCCTTAACAATTATTTTTTGACTTCTATTTAATTACTCCTTAAATAACCGTTATCTCTGACTTTTATTTTATAGATCACAAATAGCAATAAAACAGTTGTTTTTGACTTTTTAATTATATATCTTAGATAACAGTTATCGAAGACTTTTATTTATAAAAGTTATAAATAAAAATAAGTCACTGGCCTTTATGTGTTAAATCTTACTTACAAAAGTTATTTGTATAAGTCGCAGTAAGCTTTACTTCCCCAACACCTTCTTAACTGCGAAAAATGATAATGAATTTTATCGAATGATTTTAAAAATAAAAGTTGGTAACTGATTTATATTGATGACTTTTAAAAGTAAAAGGAAACAAAAGTCTTCAACAACTGTTATCTAAGACATATAATATAAAAATCTAAAATAATTGTTATGTTATTTTAATTTCGCATACAAATTACATTTACAAATTAGTAGAAGAACATTTCCTTCATAGTGAATTTTTCCATGACAGTTTTCACCAATAACTGTTATGTTCGGTCCCTGCCAGTAATGCATATAAGGCGATTATTGAAACACACCCTTGCAGTTACTGATAGTAATATCTAAATATTTTAGTACGATTTGATATTCATAGCTACATATGCAAGTACATATGTATGTGCATGTACATTAGGGTAGTCCAAAAAAAAAGTAAAGTGAAATTTTAATGCTCTCACCCCCTAGGATTGTTGCATACCGAAAAAAATTATTTACTTGGGTGGACAGTATTTTGTAAAGTCATAAATACAAGGGACGAAAAATAAACATATTTTTTTTTTAGTTTAATTAAAAAAAAAATCAAAATGTGCCAAGCATCGCAAAAAATCCCGATTGCACGCAGACACGTTTCTCTCTATATTCTGCTATAATTTTCAAAGTTTTATATTTTTCGAGTTTAACCGATATTAATTAAAAATAATAATTATTATTTGAGTTATGGTTCTTGCTCAACATAACTAAATTGCGTGAGTTTTATTTTTTTTTGATAAAAAAACAATGGTTATTTTATGCTTTTAAATTTTTCACTCAAGGATTATTATTGAGTTTAAGTTTTTCACTTCATAGTATAGATTATTATAGAAACTCAAAAACAATACCGGCGTGATGTCAGACAAATGTTTTTCAGAGGCAGCGACACCATAATAAATGGAAGAAGTCTCAAAACTGTATGGTCAAAGTTTCGGTTGATTGCGCCTGTATGGCCTTTTAAATTTTATAAATAATAATTTTTTTTTAAGTGAAAAAAATCAATAATAGTTTTCATCGAAAAAATAAAATCAAGTAATAATAATTTCTGTTAAGCAAAAAAAAAATAAAACGCAACAATAATATTATTTTTGAGCGAAAAAATTAAAAATCAAAATAATAATTAAATGCCAATTTAAATTATTTTACTTTTAAGAATTGCCATTCCATTTACAATTTCAAAAAATTAATTGATTTCATATACATATGTAAATGTTATTATTTTTTCAATTCTTTCTTATTTTATTCACTATAATTATAAATAAGTATTTACGAAAATTTTGCAGGCGCCCTCATCTTTGTACCCGGCGGCATGAGTATGGCATTCGGACTCGGTTGGAATCTTCACTCCCACATACACACCACAATGCAATTGCGTTACTCCTGGTTCGTTGGCTTCATAATTGGTACATTGCTGGCCGCGCCGCTTATCAAAGTTCTGCCTAAGCGCGGCTTTATGGTAAGTTTAGCATCAAATAACAAATCTAGCCTAGATTTGTTGCTCATCAACGATCAGTTGGCATTTTGCAGTTGCTTGGCGCCATTCTGGTAATTATTGGCGGTATCATCTTCACCAGCGTGCCTTACAGCTATGGCGCTGTGCTGGCAGCGCGTTACATTAACGGCATCGCTATCGGCAGCACAACATTGGCATTTCTTGTGCACGCCAGCGAAATAGCAGCCACCGAAAATCGCGGCTTCTGCTTGTGGTTGGAGCAAAATAGCATGACTATCGGCATTGTCATTCAAGTGGTTTACACCTCGCAATGGACATCGCGGGTGTACTTTGCGGCAGATCGATTGCATGGCATAATAGCCATTATTTTCGGCGTATTGGCCATTTGTTGCGCGCACTTCATAGTCGAATCGCCCATCTTCTTTGTACGTCAATGTGATGATGCGCGCGCCCTTAACTGCCTGCGACAATTGCAACGGCCCGAGTATGCGGCACCGCAAGCACTGCAAGTGCTGTTGGACGAACAGAAGACCTATGTTGTGGAGACGGAAACGGTGGAGTGGCGCGACACGTTGCTGCAAAGTCCACTATTGCGTTTGTTGCTCTATCGCAGCATGGTTGCATTTGGTTTCTCGCTACCTATGAATGAGGCAATGCAGGTGGCCAATTTGGTGGTGTTGGGCGATTACGAGTGGCAGCCCATAGTGTTTGTCATATTACGCGTCGGTGGCACCTTCTCATCGTTGTACATGTTCGATGTGACGGGTAGAAAAATGGTATCATTGGTGGCGTTGCTCTTCACAGCGGCGCTATCCATTGCCATTGGCGGCGAATACGATGATGAATTGAGCGTCAAGAGTGAGTACCACATGTCGGTAATCTGTGTGCTTTCACAAGTTTTTCAGTTCTTTGCGGGCTTGTATGCGCCCAGCACGTCGGTGTACTTGAGCGAGGCCTTCCCGATGACGCTGAAGCCGTACTTCATAGCTGGATGTCTGGTGTTGCAACAAGTGATACATATAATCGTTATCTGCACGTTCCATTTCAACATCTACTCCATGTATATGTATACAATGCTCGTCGGCATATTGATGTTTGTGTGCTCTGTGGCATTCGGTGTGACAATGCCAGAGACGCGGAAGACAACGCTGGGTGAGGCGCAAATAAGCTTTAGAAAATTGTTGCATTTCAAGTGTTGCTGATTTGAAGAGCAAGTAATTAAT